TTCTTTTTAGAAATGACTGTGTATTATATGTATAATGAAAATAGAGCTCCACTATCATTTTTTTAGCCGCCAAATATCGGGCATTCTGATTTAAACTGCTTCTTAAGCTGGTCTCGTTAGCTTGGAAACTTATAGCTCGGTGCTGTGAAAATTCATTTTAGCAGCGTGTTTCTCTGTGCTAATATATCATTTTTGACTTAAACAGCTAAAGTTTTGGTTAGGATGGGTTTGGCGGAAATTTGCTAAGATCTATTAAGCACTATCCAGGAATTAGTAGCAAAACTTGTAAGGTCAAACATACGGGGTTGTTCTTGAATTTAGAATATTTCAAGAACTATTATATATCTTCCAAACTGATAAAGTTTTCTAGGTGGAATGTTGCTGCAGTTTGTTGTCTGATATTGTGCTTTTTACCACTCGTTTTCCCGGACTATTTATTATTATTATTTTTTTTATTTTAATTCTAATTGCAAAAATCCTAGTGTTCTGTTTAGCAACGTTTCATTTTTGGGATTCACTTCTTTTGTTGGTGGTACTGGTATGTTTCACTACAATGCAACCGTCACACTAGTTTTCCGTTTTAATTTTTCTATTTTTTTGAAGTATGGTAGGGTAACAAGTAAAATTTTGAAATTGATTTGTTTAATTTTAGTTTAACTATTCACAAAGAACGTCATGTTTTCTTAAGGCCCCAACAAATCCACCACCACCTGTGCCACAGCAAAAAGTTGTGCCTCCAGCGAAACTTGTTAACAGTGGTTTGAACAGTTCGGCTACACAAAATGGTGATGTACTTGCTCAGAACGGACACGTAGCTAAAGCTAAATCTGTTGCTTCGGATACTTTGAGAGGCTCTTCCAATGCAGGATTGTCTACAAGTTTGCATACTTGGTTTTCCTAGTTAAATTGGAAAATTTAAAATGTTCTCCTATTGGTGATTTCTTACTTATTTTGTGGACGGATTTTCCAAACCATTGCTGTAAAAATATTTTGAAAATTTTGAGATCTATTTGCTTCCAGCGGTCCAGTTTTACTTCTGAATATTACTTTCAGATGGCAGCGTCAAGTCAGGAGAAGGCCTTTCTAATGATTCTCGACCTCTGCAGCTGAACGGACAAGTTGGATTTGATTCGCTTCCGCATCAGCTTGTGCGGAAATGTACTGAACAGGGGTAATTTGGTTTTTATTTGTCGATTCTGCTTTTACGTTCCCCTAATTCTGTTATAGTAACGTGGTTTTATGCTTTCAGTACTAAAATGGGTGGTTTTACAGACGTGGCGCCGTCTTCGAATTTAAAGGCTCAAATAAGTTTTTTTAGATTCCAGTTCAACTTAATGTGCGTTGGTGAGACAGGTATGGGGAAGAGCACGCTTATTGAGTCTTTATTCAACATGACGCTTGAGTTTCCTCCTTGCAACAACGAATTAAAAACGGTCGAGCTTCATTCGAAGACTTACGGTTAGTAAAATAAGTAATTTCCTATCGTTTTTCTTGAATATTCTTGTATCTGAGCTATTGCTTTTTGCAACGTTCTTCTTTACAAATTATATTTGGGTCATTATGAGATAGGCGGAACTATATGTTCAAGCTCTCAGAATTTTTTTTGTTTGCCAGAACTGATAGTTTTGGAAGAAGTTGCTGTTCATTTGTGGATGGTTTTTTGCTTTTTATTTGATTTTTGATTTCAAAAAGCCAATTTGTTTATTTAGCGTTATTCAGATGTGACAGAAGGAGGTATTCATTTGAAGCTGACTATCGTCGAAACAGCTGGTTTTGGCGACCAATTGGATAAAGATAAAAGGTATAAATTTTTATACTCTTTATTGGCGGTTTTATAAGTATTTTGGGACGTCACTTTTTCTTTGATCTTTGAATTTTTAGCGCAGAAGTCATAGTAAACTTCATCAATGAACAGTTTGAGAAGTATCTGAAGGAGGAATTGAAGGTCAAGCGTTGTCTTGAATACTACGATGATACTCGTATTCATGCGTGTTTGTACTTTATTTCTCCAACAGGACATGGGTGAGTAGCCATGGTTTTTCCTCATTGTTTTATTCATTTATGTTTTTTTAGTCATCACTTTTTTAACTGCTCAACCTTCTGGACCACTCTTTGTAAGATGGCATTGTATCATAGTTTAACTGTATGTCAGTTGAAGAACTCACTGGGTATTGACAAGATGGTTATTCTAGAAGAGGGTTCATTTTGAATGTTTAACAACAGTTTTATTACTTTGGGCATTGTTAGAATGCGTGCTTTGTGCGTTTTTTGTTGGTGCATTGCAAAACTTTTCAATTTTAAAGATTTTCTTCTACGTTTTCTCCTCTCTACAGCTGCTCGCAAGTTTGATTTGCTTGCCCCACTGGGTAGGTGTAAGTGTTCAAATAGTTCCTAACTGTTACATTTTTTTAATTGGGTATCTGCGCGTGGTAATTTATTTTCGGTCCCATATTTGACCTGCAAATTTAAACTTTTATGTTTTTTTATCCACGTTTTGAAAATTATTGGTATTTTGCAGATAACTGAAAAAATTTCACTTGTATGCGGTTTGGTTTTCAGCAGTAGCGTCAGAACAACTAGTTTGTGTTGCTAAAACATCCTGTGCGTTTTTATTATCTTTTTTTTTTAGGAATGCAGGGCAATTATTTTATTTTAGTTGCGTGTGGTAATTCTGATGTGAATGAAACAAGGTTGAATATAAAGTTATAAGCGATTGCTTTTTTTGACAGATAAAAGAAAGGTGAATAGGTTTACTTTTTTACGAGGAATTTTTGTGTGAAAAAGCTGTTTTTTTAAAATTCTCTTGAATTGCAGAGAAGAAGCTTATGGAATAAAATACTTAAAATAGTTGTAACGTTCATTTAATTCCTCTGTCAAAGATACAAACTGTTTTCATGGTTTACTCAGAAGCACCAAAAGTGTTTAATATGTACCTTAACTTTGAGAGAAAATGGCCATTAATTAGCGTAGACTATAGGTAATTCTATTTGTTTAATTTTCCCCATCTTTTAACCTTTGAGATTTTTTGTATTAAGGGCGTAGATTTTGTTTTGCTTATAGAACAGAGTATCGTTTCGCTGCCGGGATTTCTTCGCTTTAAGTTTTTTAAAATCAGTGGGTTTTGCGTGATAGGAGGTACTTGTGTGTTTCTGGCATGTTCAGTGTAATGCGGGGTAATCATTTAACTGCTCTTACTTAGTTTTTTAAAGTAGGAGGAAAGAGTCAATACTGAGTGTGGTTTTTATGCTGGGTTTTCTAGAAACATTAAATTGCACCAAATTTTTGATCATTTGTTTATGTGGGATGTTTTTGTTTGTGAAATTTAGTTTTTTTCTTTTGAATTTCAACTCTCAGCTGGAGGATATTTTCTCGTAAGTTTTTCAAATCTATGATTATCATGAGAAATTTATTATGTAGCATGTACGGTTTATACTTTATCAATTGCGATATAATCTTTGTAGTTTTTATTTGCAGAGGATCTTCTGGGTAAGTGTGTTTTGTGTGGTAAATTGGAAATTGGTGGTTTTTTCTTTATTTTGGCAATAAGGATTTAAGTGAAATTTTTTGAGTTTGTTGTTTTTTGGAAATTAATGGTTTAAACTTGATTTTTATATTTAATGTTGTTCTTTAAAATTTTATAAACTTAACTGCTCGAGTTTTATTATTACAATTATAAAGATTATTGTATCGGTCGTCTTAGTAAGATTTTTGGGAGACCTGATAACATAGAGTTTTAGTTACAAATAACATCAGGAAGAAAGCTTTTTAGCAAGTTATGCGTAGTAAAATACGTGCCAAATGAAAATACACGTAAGACTAGATTTTACAGTTAAATTTGCTTTGAAGTCTCTTGGTTTTTTGCGGTTTGCCATGGCTTATCCAACTGTAAAATTTAATATTTGAGGTGGCTTTGAGGAATTCTATGATTTATGTTTTTGGCTGTTGATTTGCTTGCTTGCTCTTTTCATCCCCCAAAAATTAATTTGCTCAAGATGTTCAGAATGTATTCTGTTACACCTATATCAAATTTCGCTTTTGATTATTCCACTTTTTTAAAGCCACTGTTGATTGGGACTGTTAAGCACCCTATTTTATCATGCCGTAGAGGTTCAGCACTCGCCAGTTTAGGCTTAAAGCTCTCGATGTAGTGACTATGAAGCGACTTTCGGAGCGAGTAAATGTGATTCCGATAATAGCCAAGGCAGACACGGCCTGCAAGGATGAGCTTTCTCGTTTCAAAAGCAAGGTCTTTTAAACCGCAGTTCCGCGTGCTTTTTACCGACACTGAGTCAAATATGTTTTGGGGTATCCCAGCAAGTTTCTTAAAATTTTTTAGATCCTTAGTGAGCTTCGAAGCAACAACATAGCGATATACCAGTTTCCAACCGATGACGAAACTGTACGTGCAGTTAACACAGAGTTGAACCAGTTGTTACCTTATGCTGTCGTGGGAAGTACTGATTTTGTAAAGAAAGATAATGGAAAGTTATATCGAGCAAGAAGGTATCCGTGGGGCATCGTGGAAGGTTTGTTTTTCAAAGCTCTCTAGCCGGTAGTGATTTGATTCAAAGCTGTTGATTGTTTATTGGCTTTGATGAAAATTACATTTGGGTATTTGATGCTTTCTTTTTTGTTATTTTGGACTTCTTTACTTTCAGTAGAAAATGAAGATCACTGCGATTTTGTGAAATTGCGGGAGGCTGTGCTGCGTACTAACGTTGATGCCCTCCGAGAAAGAACTCACAAAGTACTGTACGAAAGTTATCGCCGAGAAAGATTGCGATCAATGAAAGTCGGGGATGGTGACACCGGCCCGAAATTGCTTGAAGCTTTTGCCCAAGTCTGATATCTTTTTTGCAAATTTTTCAAAGACTTGAGAAAAGTTTGGAATGAAGAATTTAAAACAAGGATTCTGAAACGAAGCCGAACTATTTCTTCAATCGAGTGTAGATAGCCTTACCCAAGTTTTGAAGACATGACGTCTTTTTGTTTTCTTCATGAAGATGAGGATAGTGGCAGAGGGTCTGAGGTTTTAAATAATATTTCGTTTCCTTTCTTGCTGAATCTGTGCATTCTCATTTGGGGAATCATATGCTGGCATTCTCGGGGTTTTGCTTTACGCCTTTGAAATTGTAGTTTTAGGGTTGAAATGGCTTAAAATTGTTTGTTGAAGGATCTGCAATATTTACTAATATGACTCAATTCTAAAGGGCAACAGTAATCTATTTATATTCACAAAAATTAGTGGTTTTCTTGTGATTATTTTTCGCTTTGAACGATGCTTTTATTATACTTAACAGTTTAGAAACAAAAAGAATTTGCTGACGAAATGGCTGAAAAGGAAAAGGTGATGCGAGATCAATTTATTGCTCGAGTTAGCCGGAAGGAAGAAGAAATGAAAAAACGCGAGGAACTTGTAAGCTTTTTTTCTCTGAGATTACGTCGTCTTTTTTATTTGCTACCTTTTCTATTATGCAGGTCATCACATTTCACCGTTGCTCTTGACATTTTTATTTAGTTAAACAAGCGAGCTAAGGAAATAAAGGATACGTTTGAGAACGAAATGAAGCAAATTGAGTCACAGATAAACTCTCTCATGGAGGAAAAAATGAAGCTAGAAAATAAAATCAACAAGAAAGCGCGGAAATAAGCCAGTCCTCTTCAGATTGATGTCGATTTCGGTTTTTGGCAGTTTTTTAATATGACATGCTTATGTATTTGCACCACCTGTATATCGTTTATCTGTTGATTCAGCTCTGTAAGTTGTTAGTTCTCACCGGGGCTGCTCGGGGGTGTTTTGTGAAATATGTGTATTTCTCATTAAAACTTTGAATTCTAGAGTTTTTTAAATTTATTAGGTTACGAGCAGTCTTCTCTGAGCGTCTGGTTGGTGTCTGTATGGTCGGTTCTATTTGTCATGTTTATGTATTATTTGCTTATAACTCTATTGCATTATCGTCTTAATGAGTTTTAAGACAGGTAAATAAACACTGAATTTTTTAGATCGGTATTTGTTGTATAAGGGGGATTTTAGACTGGTAATTTTTTTCTCTTTTTAACTTTTTGGTTAGCTGTAGTGATTTTTGCTTAAATCTTGGTGCTTGGGAATAGCCAGAAGTTGGTAGCGTATATTCACTGAAGAGTGGGGCTGTTTAACTTGTCAAAATTACTGTCTGCGAGTAAGGGATTTTGGAAGTTTCCCTAGAAGCATTTTTGTATCAGATTCTCAAGTACAGTAGGCGTATGGCGACGTGCAGATGTGATTTTACAGTTTGGTTCTAATGACGACGTGGAGTTCTAAGTAGTGTATGTCTTTGCGGCGGTTAGAAATATCTATTTTATAACTGCGTATGAATTGACTTCGCTTGTTCTTCCTTGGGAAGTGTTTCATCACTGTGTTCATTTTTGTAGGTGTATATTGATGCATTCCCAATTCTAATTTGCGTTATAAAATCTTTCAAACTTTCTGGCCTTCTAAGTCGTCTGAATGATACACGTTATCAGGAAGATGAAGATGCCCAGAGATCATGGTTGGCGGATGTTGGTTAAGTGCGTGGTTGAGGACGGTTACTTCGTAGGTGTTGTGTGGGCGACGGTGTTGGTATTGCCTTTCAAAGGATAGGTCAGGAGGTTCTATTGTGGTTCCGTCGTTCTTCTTTGCTGGTATTTTTTTAAGTTATTTTAGTCTAGATGTTTGTATAAGAGAGGGGAGATGTATCAAATGGTTTAATGGAAGAAGTTTAAGTTCCTCTGTCAGGAAGATACTCTGTCCGTTTCAAGATGTGCAGAGGTGGGCAAGTTATGCAGAGGATTGTTTCTTTTGGTGATTATAAGGTTTTTTCCTAGAAGAAAAAATATCTTGTAGGTTATGTGTTTTACTCGTCATTTTGAGTTCTTGCGGTTGATTGGTAACTGTTGATGGCCGCTTTTTTATTTGATAATTTGGTTCCCAAAAGATCTGGAAGTTTGCTTATAATATTGAAGAGAAGTGTACTTGAACGTCTTTCATGTGAACATCCTGTGACCTAAGGAGATCATTAATTAACGGCAAGAGTTTCATGTGTGTTTAAGCAATATGGGTATATCAGTTTTCATGAACAGATGGTTCTTCATTCAGCTTATTTTTTGTGCTTCTTGAATATGAGTTTGACTACTTAAAAAGACTTGGTATGGAAATACAGGTAATGATATTTGATTCACTGGCGGAAAGCAATGTCGAATGTATTTTTTATTTGCTAAATTTATTTGAAGAGTGTTTGAAGCTTTTTGAAATCATTTAGTTTTTGTAACGACATGTCATGTGATTAGAAATATTCTTTGTGGTTGCGAGCAGAAGTGGAAAGCAGAGTTACTGGAAATTGCACAAATGGTGGGGAATTATCATATTTCAGGCGGTGTGATTGGGGAAGGAGTAATCGAGATGGGAAATCTACTAGACAGTATGAAGTTGAGTTAATTTGAATACAGAGTATCTGATAGATGACATTTTTTAATGTTGTCTGAATGATATCTAGTAATCAAACGATTGATGTCTAAATTTTTTTTTACATTAAATTACTCATTTATCATTTTTAGTGTATGCTTCATTCGTTTCTTCATTTTCACTTTTTTACTATAACATCTTGTCGGTTATAAGGTTCTCTCAACGCTGTTTTAATCTGTTTAAAAAGTGAAAACTTTTCCATGACTTCAGACTAATTGTTTCATTAAGAAAGAAAAGATGTGCAGAAAAATACTGAAATACATCAGTAATCGTTTTTCAAGCTTAAAAGTGGTTATATTTATTTACAGAATTTCTCATATGCAAATCTGGCAAAAGACTAAGTGGTCGAACTATTAATGGAAATAGCATAGTTTGATGGTTGCCACTTAAGATTACACTGGTTTCCTTTTTTGTTTTTGGATTACAGGTCAATGGCACTAAGGTGTTTTGCAGAACTCTAAAGTATAGACGGTGGAGCGAAGAGGAGAGAAATTTTTTTTTTCTCAGAAAGCTTTTGTTGTAAGCTGCTAAAAAAAGGGCCAGAATTAAGTAAAAAAGAAAAAGAGAATGCTAAGGAAGTTGGGAGACTGATATTCATGCA